AAGGAGAGTGGGAGGGTTAAAATTCCCAGTTTAGATACCAGGAAATAGGAAAGACATGCTGTTAGTTCAAATGGATGACTTTCAATCCCTGCTTTGATTTTTTGGAAGGAAGAGACAATTTTGCATATCATGAAAATCTTCAGAATGGGTCTCATGCTATATGGCCTCCAGTAAGCTGTACCAGCTTCCTCCAATCTGATGCCCTCCAGCTAGGTTGGACTACAGCTCTAGTTATTCCCAGCCAGTACCTTCAATGGCCACACAGCTGGGATGATGGATTCTAATGGAAATTATCTGAATGGTGCCAGGTGTAGTATAGTAGTAGTAGGGGGTATACTCAATCAGCCTGTGAACTGCATAGAGTTTTGAATGCTATGATAGTTGGCAAAGTTTGTTGGGTATATCCCTCAATAGTACTACACAGGCTAGAGAAGTCTGGGTGGGTTAGAGTTAACTCAATTCCAGTTACAACAAGCTCATGTAAGACTTGATTTCAGAAGCCGCTCCCCAGAAACCTGACATTATCACTAACCCTGCCCTTTTGAGTGATTTCTGAAAATTAGTTTTTCATTTTCGTTATGAAGTTTCATTATCTGGACCTGTCAAATTTCCTGAAAAACTGCTTTGATGTGACTGTTGTTAGATGCTAGAAGAAGATCTTATTTTAATCTAATGACTGGTGTGCATCCATTTATTTTGTGCTGGGAAGTGAAATTCTTGTAGATAAGACAACAATAGTCCCTTTCATCATCAGGAAGCAAGAGAGGGGTTGAGGCGTAAGTGATGCTCTTTCCATCCCTGTCTTAATTTCCACCTAGAGGCAGTTCATCAAAATTGTTGGTCAGATCCCAGCTGTTAAGGGAAGGGAACAGATTCTGGTAGGACGCCCTTAATCTGTTCTGGATAGATAATTATAGACTGAGGGGCTTACAATTATTAGAATCCCTGCCTGCTGTTTTCAAACATGTTTTGTCCTTAAAACAGCTGAAAAATCAGCTATCTGGTAGAAGAACTGCAGAGCACTTAGTATTTCAGGAGAGGTTAAATCCTAATCTAAAACTGAGGACTATCCTAGAAAAGAATGGTTTTAACTTGCTTTCTAAAAAAAATTCTTGTATAGATGAACTGACAAAGGAAAAGGTGTTTCCATAGTAAGAGGACCAACATCAAAAAGCTCTCATCTCTGTTAACCATTGTCATTTCCACAGAGAAGGGATGGGTTACAAAGAATCTGGCTTCTAATAACAATCTTAGCAGTTTGACAGATTCACACAGGAGGAAGGAATCTTGCCAGTCCCCTAAACCCACAGAAAGGCTGCACCCAGGTTATGTTCAGATATAATGCAACTTCGAATGTATATATAGCCTTTCACTGGTATTCTTCAGTGGCATCTACCTGTAAACTAAGTGCAGTTAGTTGCTTCATCCAAACCAGGGTGGTCTGTGTTTTGCTTGGTATGTCCCAACAAGCCAAGATTGCCACCTGTTGTTTAGGTAGCCCTAATTAAAACTTAATTGCAGTTTCAGTTTATGCAGAATGTCAGACTGCTCCCTGCTGCATGTATGCTAAACTGTGGTTCAGCACTTTATTTAAATCATGTCACCTACAATCCAAGCAACTTGAATTGAAATGTAGATGTTGACCCAACTCATGAATATATTTGTGCCTCTTCAGTGTCAGTAAGAGGATCCAATTCCATTGTCTTTTAAAGTTGAAATATAACTCTGCACACAGACGATAGAATACAAGCAATTTTGGAATTTTCGGGAGGGGGAAGGACATATAAGATAGATAGATAGATAGATAGATAGATAGATAGATAGATAGATAGATAGATAGATAGATAGATAGATAGATAGATAGATATAGAGAGCACTATGGAAAGAGCTGCATCATTCCCCTCTACCAAGTGATGATGATATTGTTATTTGATAAGACTTTCCTAATGAGGAAGAGTGTGTATATTAGAAACCTAAGCACAGTTATTGTGTGCATACCTGAATCAACATTTCCAAGGCACATTTATAACCCTTGATAGGCTCTTTGGATTGTCATCATCTGTAGCTTCAAGGAGATAATCTGGGAGGGACCGAAGATTCCATTGAGGGAAAACTCTCCTGTGTAGAACTCTGCATTATCTACTTTGGGAGTCATAAACTCAGCTTTAAATTAAATTGTTCATCAGGTTTAAAATTACTTAGCTTACACGGCCCCACTCTCGTTTCAACCTGCATTTAACTCTGTCCTTAGCATCTCCACACCAAGTTTCCAGCAGCTGCAATACAGATGTAGTTTGCTTCAGAGCTGAGTGCAACACTCAGTCTGGCTGTTTCTTTGACTCTATGAGTAGCCTGTTTTAAAAATCTTACAATACAAAGTTAGGTTTGAAAACAGTCCATGTGGAGAGGAGAGGAGAGGAGAGGAAAGGAAAGGAAAGGAAAGGAAGCTAACATAAGAAATAGAAAGATATTTTTTTGCTAGTTTGGTGTAGTAGTTAAGGGATCAGGCTAGAAACTGGGAAAGTTAGGTTTGAAAACAGTCCATGTGGAGAGGAGAGGAGAGGAGAGGAAAGGAAAGGAAAGGAAAGGAAGCTAACATTTTGAGGCAATTTATATTTTTTTGCTAGTTTGGTGTAGTAGTTAAGGGATCAGGCTAGAAACTGGGAGATGGTGAGTTCTAGTCCTGCCTTGGGCACGAAGCCAGTTGGGTGGCCTTGGGCCAGTCCCTCTCCCTCAGCCCTGGGAAGAAGGAGGCCAGGGCAAACCACTTCCAAAAAACCTTGCCAAGAAAACCGCAGGGACTCGTCCAGGCAGGAGTCACCAGGAATCAAAAACTGACTCAAAGGCACAAAACAAATATTTTTCTGTAGTTCATAACTTGTCCTGGTAGACAAAAACTTAAGCTTATTCATAAGAGCATGCTGATAATTTCTCCTCCAAATACAATACATTTGGCCTGACTATCCTTTGGTAGCAACACTGCATGGAGAAACTTGGTGTGGATCTAAGTGCCAGGCTTCAGGCTAGACACAGCAGTACATCTCAGGTCTCCAGACACTTAACTCCATATCCAGAAACTTGCTTCTCGCCAGAAGACTCCCAGACATGACAGGATTAGTTTCTTTATTGCAAGAATAGAGCAATATACACCAAAAGGTCTGTCTGCTGTAGCACACAGCAATCAAGGCCTATATATAAGATCTGTGCTCCAGAATTTAAATTCTAGGCTTTTTTTTTCCTCCATATTTCCAAGTCAACACATACTTCCTCAAGGCTGTGGGTGGGAGGCAGCTAGGTTATAATGACATAATGGTTCTCTTGAGCCTGGGAACTGCTGGTTCCTGTCTCACCAGCTTCATTTCTAACAATAACCCTGCAATTGTGAGACCCTGTTATCCATCTGACATATTACTATTTTCTGTTTACAGTCAACTTCATGGCATTATTTATCCATGCAATCTGGTCCCCAGAGATAGTCATGAATTCTTGCTTATTCATTCTTGTATATCGAGCTTTGCATTTTGGAAATCAGGTTCAGCACATAACTGAATGCACTATAACAAGGTTCCTCAACCTTGGCAACTTTAAGACAGGTGGACTCCAAGGCTGGCTGGCTGGGGAATTCTGGGAGTTGGAGTCCACCTGTCTTAAAGTTGCCAAGGTTGAGGAACCCTGCACTATAACATAGAAGTCTCAGAGTTTAGGAACCAGATGATTATTTTCTACTCTCTTGGTGACTTGAAGGTGAAAATGACCATGGGTGTATTTTATATCTTGAAATACACCTAGGCATGCTAAGTGGGTATTGAATATTCTTGAGCCTCGTAGTTCTGGGACACAAGCTCCAGCTAGTCAAGCCAAGTAGCCACAGAAAAGTTGGGTTGGGAGGGACTGCTGTATGTTCATTTTGATAGAAATGCCTAGTTTTGACCCACCATCTCATCCACCAATTTATCATTCAGCTTAGTTAACATAATAGTTAGCATTTGTAATCTGAGTACAAATAGTTATTTAGTCAGGTGTAAAACTGCTTTGATGAATTTCCTGAACCGGCTTTGGAAAAGATATATGCCTTTTCCAAAGCAACTGAGAAAAAGGTTGCACCTTCATATGTAATGTTATTCTAAGTAAGAATCTTACATATGTTAGCATGATCAAATGATAGGTGCTTTGGGTTTGTTTTTAATCCAGAGGAACTATCATATTCTTCATTCCCAGCTATCAAGGAATATGCACATTTAACTTCTTTGAATCACCACCAGGCACAAGAAAAATGGTATCTCATTAAAAATAAAAACAACTCAGACCTTCCTAAAAAAGCTGAAAAGGACCATGGTCCAAAGTAATTTGCACCAGTGGCATTTGAATCTCTTGGTAATGCCTCTGAAGTAAACTCAAAAATCTTCTCTTCTTTTAGTACTTCATAGTAGTATGTTTGGTGACCTAGCATTTGAATGGCTCTCTTAACTGCTTAGTTAGTCAAGAGTACAGTTTGCCACAAGGGCTCAGAAAATGCCATACCTAAGTGTCTGGATCCACTGATTTCTCCCAGCTTCTTGAAATAAAGTTAACCCTGTCAGTTTCATTGTGTTGTAAGTATTTTCTATCCTGTGACCAGCTACTTCTCCTGAACATTGAATTTAGAATCTCAACCTATGTATCACATGATGAACGTCATCACTTTTGACAATGGAAATGAAGCAGATACGTTGGCAACTGAGACCTTAGGTTTCAGTTGCCATGGGTACCAGAAGAGACCCTAAATGGTTCCATTCCTCTCCCATTGCATCCAAAATGAGAAATAGGTGTTCTTGTCCTGGGCTCTCCCATTCAGAGAGGCTAAACTAAAGTGCTTTTAAAGACAAAAAAAAATCTGAAAGGAAGAAGAAAGATCAAATAGTAATCATACAAAATTGACTCCTTGGAGTTTTATATTTCTAACAATCTCTTTGTTTTTGTTTTTATTTTAATGTACTAATAAAACTGCCCGTTTCTTTCAGGTGGGTGTACACGGCATTAGAATAGAATTCATCAACGAAAAAGGATCAAAGCGCACCGCCACCTACTTACCGGAGGTTGCGAAGGAGCAAGGTCATTGTTGCACTTTCTCATATGATCTGGTGAAGAATTTAAACATACCTAGGAACTTAAAATGCAATATTTGACCTTGCACTGATGTCAGATGATGGAGCGATCCTTTAATTGTAAGGGATGACTCTTTTAAATGCCACCTACGTATCTGTCGAAAACAAATCCCTTGGTTCGGAAAGCTTCCCTCGATTGCAGCAATCCAAGCATACGTTGCCGCAAACTAACAGGACAGCATTGGGCCAAACAGCGGTGGGAGACAGTGGAGCAAAATAGTCCATCCGGATGTAATGACTGAAAGCTGCAGACACCAGCCATGCAGAAAGCTCTCTTAAAGGAGCCATGTCACGATTTATGAAAGCATTTCATTTTTCTCAATGTCCTCTTATCCAACTGCTCTAGGACTGTCTTCCCGCTTTACTTTTAGGTAGACTCCTAAGATAGACTCCTGAGATAATTATTTGAAAAAATATATCATACAAGTCAAAGAGGTAGAACTGGCCCTATCAGGTGTCATCGGAGTCATAAAATTGGCTTCAGATTCTATGACGAATCCCCAAGCCCCCTTACAAGGGACGTAAAGATCCGTCCTAAAAATGGAGGGAAGGCTGAGATGATGCTGCTGCCTAAATTCCCAGTCTTCAGCTGAAAGCTACCATTAGCCAACATTTTCCACGGACGCAATTCCTTGACATCTGTGGTATATTGTGAAAACCAAATACAGAGCTTGCATTCAGAGGGTGACAGTTCCATTTCAAGGTGTACCTGCTAGTAAAGTTTTCACTGGTAGGAGATTGGACTTTTTAAAAAATCTGCCTAGAGTTCTATATTTATCAGGACTTCCGTGCTGTGAAAGCACAGGATCTCCTGCTCATAATTTGGGAAAGTTGTATGGATGTTGTCATTGATGTCTTCTACAAAACAAAGCTGCGGACATGATTTCATGATTAATTCTGAATTTAATTATTTCAGAATAATTTTATTTCCAGAATTGGGAGAGGAAGAGATGTTTTTATTGTTTGCGCCTATATGGATTTGTGAGTTTAAAAAAAAAACCCATGGATAACTCTTAATGAGTCATTCCTTTTATGTAGTAGAGAAAGTACCCAAAAGGTGCTGAACTCAGAAGCACGGGATGGTGGTTTCAGCCTGTGTCTCGTATAAACTTGGATCTTCTAAAAAACCATGGAAGTCTCTTTGTTGATGGGTTGCTGGCTTTGCAGAGCAAATGGGAAGCCCCCATCTATGGAGACCTCTAAAATCAAGTTGCTGTTGCGCTCTGTATTAGCTAATCCTACTGCACTGCTACTACTCTTAAGACCCTTTGAACAGGCAGGAACCACGCAACAGTTGTGTTGGCTGGGTTGCTTGGTCCTTGGGTCAGTAATAATTCTGTTCTCTCCAGTGCTGTGTGACACAGCACCTTTGATAAAACATAAGGTACATATTTAAATTTCGTGCTATTAACTAGACTCATTTCAAGGGTCTTTAACATTGGCTTGTTCTAAACTACACTGATTTTCAGTTGGCCATTTGGAATACAAATATTCAAGAGGAACAACAATTTACCTTTCTTTGATTCCTCCACCCTTCTGTTATTACAGAAAAAGTGTCAAGAGAGCTAAAAGCCAAAAACAGCAACAACTGCCCAAGATTCCCCAGTGAACATCCTGGCTGACTGACAATCAGAAGGATTCCGGTAACTTCTTTTCTGACTAACAAATTTTATTAAAAGGCATAAGCAAATGTTAGTCACAGAAGAGACTACCAGACTCCTGATTTTTTTTTACTACCATAGACTAACATGGCTGTCCTCCTACAATGTCGGCAACAAGAAGCACCACGGATGATTAAGAATTTGAATTTAAGTTCTCCTAGACACAATTCAGTCCGCAAGCCTAGTCTTTGTGTCTAGGAGAACCTAAGCTGTGTGTGCTGCAGAACTGTTGAATTACAGGTTCTGTCATCCCCAGCGGGGGCCAGATTAGGGATGGTTCCCATAACTGAACGACAACATTGATAATAAAGTAACATTGTTTATTTAGGATTATTACAAGTCTCGGTATTCTTTGGAAGATGTTCAGTTTCAGCCAGCTTACCTATGATAATTCCCATTAGGAATACAAATTCCCAGGCAATTTGTATTCTTGGCAATCAGTTAAACATTTTGCAAAGCTCTGGTAGCTGATTTTCTGATGCGTTCTCTTCTCATGAATCTCAACAGGATGGGACCATATTCAGACCATAGATTCCTTATTGAGGAAAGGAGGTTATAAGGCTCCAATCACAAACGATTTCAGGAAAACAATAAAACTGACCAGGTAAGAAGTCCTATCCTGTGTTTTGCTTGATTTTGTTTGTTTGTTTGCAGTAAATGACACATTTCTCAATGCCAGAGGGACGCAAGAAGGTGCAATAGGAGGGTGGAAATGTACACCCATCTTAAAGTTGCTGAGGTTGAGGAACCCTGAGTTAAATGTTCTTGCCATCACTGAGACAGGGATGTCTAGAACCTAAATATGGTTATTGTAGCTTTTGGGGGAGAGGAAAACGCCTAGCCCCCTTGTTTAGGGGTGGATTTGGTTCTGCTTTGTGATTCTCAGGAAAAAGGAAACAGCAGACTGCTTTGCTAAGCTCAATCAGGCTCTTT